GTGCTTACACTCAACTACACACGTTATACAGATTGTCATGTTTGTTTGGTTTTAAACTGAAAAAAATTGAAACGTTTTGTCTGATAAAAATCTGCAGGTTGTTAAGAAGCAAAGCAATGGTCTTTCAAAGTTAATTGAAAGTAAACTTTGATTGCCTATGCTACGTTCAGACTGCAAGCACTGGAAGCAGAAAAAGAAGCTTTTGCTGCTTCATTTTTGATGCTTCTACTCATTAAGGTCCGACGCGCCTCAAGTGCATCTTTGATGCTCCTTAATCGCATCCAGTGTAGTGTGTACAGGTGCGTCTGATGCTTCTGCTGCTCCCTTGGTCAATGGCAGAGAGCGGCATTGCTATATTTGCTGTTATAAGGGGGTAAAAAGATGTTCGAGATCAGCCTGTTTTTCAGAGTAGGCCTGTTTCTCTGACTGTGACTGGCTGAATGTGTTCTCTTTATCTTCTGACATGGGAGCTGGTTCAGGGCTCGTCTTGGTGTGTGTTTCCTGGATGGGGCCGCCTGTGGACCTGGTTTATAGTTGTCTTTTGTATCTCTGCTTCTTTTTCTATGTCTGCTTCTGTCTCCATGAACCCCAGTCGGCCTCGGCAGATGGCCGCTCACACTGAATCTAGTTCTGCTGGGGGTTTCTTCCTGTTAAAAGGGAGTTTTTCCTCACCACTGTCACTACAAGCGTGCTTAGTGTGAGGGATTGTCTTTGAGTCAATGAGTCGATGCAATCAACTGTTTGTTCTTAGATAGAAAACTTTGAATCAATTTGACTGTATGAGCTGGTTTAATTGTCTCTGTAAAGTGCCTTGAGATGACATGTGTTGTGAATTGGCGCTATATTAATAAACTGAATTGAAAAGTAGTTTTGATATGTTTTTAAGTAAGAAAGTCCACCTGAAAACTTCATCTGTGCAGTCAGTTCATCAAGATCATATCCAGCACGAAACTCACGTACACCAGCAGTGCGCTGTCACTGGAAATCCCCTTCAACAGCATCCTCTGGCCCGCTGACCTCTTGGAGGTTTTTGCTACTGTTTGTGGCGGCTGGAAGGAGATGTTAGCATTTTTCATGTACGTAATCCAAACTGCATGCACAAGAATAATAAAAGTGAACATATTTTGCTGGAAGGTTTCAACATTTTAATTTAATTTAGGCAATAATTTAGAGGAGTGATCATAGTGATCTGCATTAGTAACGCTGAGTCTGTCTCGCTGCCATCTCCCAGATCAGCTTCTCTGATTGGTTGATGTGGCGCGTCGAGCAGCAAAAGTAAAATTTTTCCAACTCCAGCAGCTGCTGCTTGTGAAGCGTGTCAAGCGTGTCAGATGCTCATAAGCTCATAGGCGCTCATGTGGTGCTCCTGCTGCACGAAACACGCTTCAGGACCTTTAGATGCCCCTTGATGCACGTCAACCATTGACTTTGCATGTGAACCAGCTGCTCGGCTGCTTCAGCAGCGTGCGGTCTGAACGCAACAGTAGAATCAGGTAACCTCTTTGGTTAAAAGGTCTTCTCCTAAATAAAAGGTGTTAAAAGTAGCAGTTGTTGCCGTGTCCTCCTTGTTCTCCCAATTTAAAATGAAAACTTCTACTTAAGTCTAAATACTAACTGGGAATGCGCCCCTAATTTTTATCCAACAAGATAGCTAAGCATATGATGTTTGATACAAAGCATGTAGGGACGATGGCCCACATGAACTCCTAGCTCTACATCAATGTGTGATAGTACTGCCAAAAAACGTTTTTGTAAAAATATTTTTTGTTCTGTTTATAAACCGTGAAACTAAATACTTTATTATGCCCTAGTATTACTAAGTTTGAGCACCATAAAGCTGCTGTTTTTAGTATTAAGTTATCTATAAGTATGCAGTGTTTCCCTTTGCTGAAATGCATGCCTAAAAAAGGGTTGTAATGGTACAACAAAAAGATTATTATCTGTGGTGTTCGGCAGTGACTTCAGAGCAAAAAAGCTGAGAATTACTCCACTCTAGCCTCTTTTTTAATCTTGCCACTTTATTCTATCCACAAAGTTCAACCATTCTCAGTTCCTGGTTTTCAATGTCTAATTAACCTTGTTTTTTAGTAGGAACTGGAATTATTTGATAAACTTAAAGCCTACTAGAACAGTTCAACCATGTCATAATTTACTCTATAAAAATTAAGCCTTTATGTATTTTGATGTTTGAGAACTTTAGCACACTCTAAACATCCATGGATAATCATCTGAAGAAATTAACTTTGAAGGTTTTTATTTTGCCTTAAAGCGGGGTAGAAAGTCCTTGAGGTATAAGATTGAAATTTATTCCTTTGAAGTAACAATGCTGATAGCAGCTTATTGAATATATGCTGAAACTTCCTTGGGTATATTCTGTTTTGCTTCTGGCCTTCATCCTGATCTGCTCATACAGTCATCCGGACATCTGAGCAAACTTATTCAAAAACTCATTTAAAGGTTTTCCTGGAAAACATTCTCTCTAGAAAAGCGAAAATCACTGCCACTGGTGTGAATCCATAAAGACATGTCTAACAAGCCCCATCTTTACACCCGATGTATCTGTTTGTATGCAAATATTTCTGTGACAGTACTTGTATGAAAAAGAAAAGCGAACAATAAAATTCAATGTAAAAACTAAAACAGCTGTTTGTGTTGATTTCCTTTTACAGATATGGAAGAATAAAGTTAACATACTAACTTAGTGTTTATACATAAGCGGAGTCAAAAGAAAATCAAAGGTAAAAAAAGCAGCACTTCGTCATTCTTGACAAAAATCATCCAATCCTTGAGACACCTGTCAATCTCAGGTAAGATGTGTTATTCTTCCATTTAGTATAGCAGCGTATATTTGTTACTTTGGCCTTGTCGGGATCTGGAGATACCAATCATGACAGGCCTGCGTTTCATGTGAGATCTTTACGGGTCTCAAATGAAACATGAGGTGTAAAAGCACCTCATACCTGCTGTTAAGTATGGCAGTGTTCCTATAATGCTGTGGTCCTCTGGCTATTTCTTTAGAGCCTAGTGGCCTTTATGTTTATTTTGTTTTTATATTATATTTAGATGACTTATATCTTTTATATCTTATTTCATCTGTTATTTTAATAACCCCAGACAGAGAGTGGGGGGAAAACATTAGCCTTGACTCAAACCTGTGATAGCCGCATCGACTGTGACCTCCGTACAAGATATACTTTTAGATTATACTTACAATATTCACGTTTCTTGGGGGGGGGGACCTCCAGTTCTGTCCAGTGTAAAAGAAAAGAGGAAAAACTGAGCATGTTTGACCTAGAAAAGCTGAAAAAGATCTGCTCTGTTCTAGGAACAATCCTTCTAGGAAAAATCCTGATAAAATGCAGAGCTTTATGGTCAACAAGGACTCCTTCCTCTTTATGATTAACACGTACTACAACTCGAACAACAACAACATTGAAGATTTCATTTCCCTTTGGTGTTAATAAAGTATTTATGAATTGAATTGTTTGATTACTATGATCAGTGTGGGAAGCATGTATTTGAGTTGGAACCTGCATGATTTAATTATAGTTTTATTTTCCTTGAGACGTCATGTGTTTGGGAATTTGGCACTATATAAATAAACCAAATTTAATAGAATTAGTGTAAAAGGATCTCCGGCCCCTCATTTAAATATAAAGAGACATCTGTGGTGTGGGCCTCAGACAATGTTTGGGGGGGTTTGGGGACACTTTTGGTGTGTCCTAAATGGAAAATCCCTTAACAAAAATGTGTTTATTCAAGTATACTAAAAGTGCACTAACTTCATACTTAAAATCAGGCTGTGCACAGTTTACTTATTCTAAACTATATTTTATATATTTACCAATAGTATAGACAAGTGTACTTGTTTATACTATTGTTTACTTTATTGTTTAAACTAGGGATGCACGATATTGGGATTTTGGCCGATATCCGATATGCCGATATTTTAAAACTCATGTAGCCGATAACCGATATCGATAGCGATGTTAAAGCTGGACAAAAATAAGTAGTCATTGAAAATAGCAGTTTTGTTATCCATTTCTGACACTTTGAAAAATAATATACTCAAATATATTTTCATATGCTGATATCAAATTGATTTTTAAAAACGCGGTATCGATCTATTTTACTTTCAAAATCTCGTGAAATTTCATCGTTCTGTTACAAACTCTCGTGATATTTTGCAAATTCTTGTGAGATTTTGTTAGTAAAATAGATCGATACCGTGTCAATATATTAACATATGAAAATATGGCAAAATCTCGTGAATTTTCGGGGGATTTCGTAGCATAACGATGACATATAGCAATATTTCATTAGTAAAAGAGATTGATATGGTGTTTTTAAATGGCAATATATCAGCATATGAAGATATTGTGATATTTTAATTTATAAATATTTTTTCCCTCATCTTTAAAAGTTTTTAAGTCTGTAAAAAAGAAGTTTTTGAGGAAGAAGAAGAAGTAGTGTTTTTTTTTTTTTAGACTTTAGAAACTCAGAAGCTGATCAAATATCGGGTTAAATATCGGTGGGGTGGCCGATACTGAATTGATACTGAAGGTGGGTTTGGGCTTAATGAATACCATGTATGAAAAAAAATCTAAAATAAAAATCAGCCTTATGCCCACTCTAAGTTCAGAAGGAGGACCTACCTGTTGGATTGTTTGTTTCTAGATGGAACCGTGTTATAGTGACTGAAATTGTGAACTGTGCCAGGACATTTTCAATTGAAACCTGCCATAATTTTTTTAAACAAGTCATTACTTGGTTTTCTAGCAGGATAAGAGACCAAAAACAAACAGCAAATGAAAGAAAAAGTTTGCCAAACACAAAAATCGATAATCTTCCATGGATACTTAGCATGATCTTGCAAGCCAGTTTGGGAGCGTTTACAAGAAGTCTCCCTATAAATGTAATCCTAAGCTCTGATACATCAGCAGACACTTATTTGTACAAAACAAGGGTAGTTTGCTCTCTGAATCTTAGAAAACAGTTCAATTTATTATTCTCCACATAAAACACACATAAAGTATAAATGTTGACCCTCGTTAGTATATCCCAACATTCCTCACAGTAAAACAGTCCACTGAATGCAAACTCACTTTGGCCAAAATCAAATCCACCTCATGATAGTCTTTTTGCATGTTTTATATGATGAAAAGTGAACATAAGAAAACAGAAATCTGCACTGTGACTAAAGGCTGGTGTCTTTTGGGGTCTTAGACACTAAAACTATTATCTTAATTTCCTCTGATGCTCAGTAGAAAGCTCTGTGCAAATACAAGCTCAGGAAGGGAGGGGGTCTTAATCCTAGTTTTTTGGGGAATTTGTTCCCCCCCCCTGAAGGGACTATAATCCACGATTCAAGGCTTTCCTCTTTCAGTCCTGAACAAGACGACGAATGCTTTTAAAAATCACACATACTCTGAGCCATAAATGGTTAGGGAATGTCCATTTGTGAGCTTGTCAAAATACAAAATCCTGAAAATGGCTGTTTATAAAGAACATAGACTTTTGTACATCAGCACATCATCGGCATAAACCAATGAAAGAACACAGTGATACAACATATATCATATTAGTAGTTAAAATATAAAAACAAGAATGAATGTAGCCAACATCATATATCAAGTATTTGCAATATATAAGAATACATTTATAAATTAGACAAAAAAAAAAGAGGAAAAAGAAAAGGGGGGTAGTTTTAAAAACGTACCACCAGAGGTCAGCAAACATCCATGCTCAGAAATCCTTTTAAACACTTGGTTTAATACAACTGGCTTTGCTGACTAGGACTTGGAAACAAAAAACAAAAGCATTTACCTTCTTTAAAATTCCTCTCCGAGTCCAACAAAGCAGCAACAGCAGTAAACACGTCAGAAATGACTGAAATTCTCAGTTACATTCTTATGAAGCCTTTCTCTAATGATGTCCTCTCAGTAGTAAAAAGACTGGTGTTTGTTTTTTATGGACTTACATAAGCCCTGTGACCTTAATTCTTTTTCTGCATCAGAAACAGGGGGAGAAAAAGTGTGCCTCTGAAGCTGAAACTATTCCTGCAGAGTCTCTGAACAGTTAATTCACAATCAATCGGTTCCCTTTATCAGAAAAATAGTTCAAAGGTCTTCTTTTATCATGTTGTTTGTGCTCCAAGCATCTTCCAGCTTAGTCTCTGTGTAGGCACTCCTCCTCAGTGATGCCCTGAGCCCTCAGCTCCTCCAGCACGTTGTCCAGGTGACCCGGATCAGGGTAGCCGTGGCCGGTGAGGTTGGAGCCGAACTCTGTCTTGTGGTGCACCTCGTTCCAGATCACTGTGTCAGACTCACCGGTTGTGCTGGACGTTCCCACGGAGAAGATGAGCCTGCGATCCCACGCTACCAGGAGCAGCCTCAGAACCTGAGGGGAAAAAAGAAATAAGTCTAGGAAATAAAATCAGGTCACTAGGTTATCTTCTAAGTGATAAAGTCTTAGTTTACCTTGCGACCCTTGTCGCTGTCAGGGAGATAACAGTGTCTGGGGAATCCACGCGCTGTGAACGGTTTTCCTGGATTTGGGTGCTCAGGGCCCTGAAAGTACACAACATACAAAGAAGCATGAGCAAAAGAAAAAAAACTCATGATTATTTTTCTGCTTTGCAGTTATGATGTGATCCTTACCTGGATACCAGGAGGGATGTTGTAGATTATCCGGATGGTTTTACAGTCTGGATGGCCAGGCAGCGAGTGCGGGATGACGTGGTACTCCATCTTGCCTGGGGGCTGGTTGCCTGTCTTGACTCCATAGATGGTCTTGCAGGTGGGGCACTGCAAGCTGCCATCCTTATTGCCATTGTTGTACATGGCGACGAGGCACTGGAGGTGGTACTGGTGGCCACACTGCGCCAAGCGGCCCACCGACTCAGCTCGGGAGATGCCACCCACGCCAGGACCCTTGTAGCCTGAAGGTCCCGATAGGGCCTCCATGCAGATGGTGCAGTCCTGATAATGGAGATGAGTCAAGTTTGTATCATAAATCCAAGCCCACTGATAAATGATACAGAACAGGTGAAATAAAGTCCAACTTCAAATTTTAAAACGCTTCCTATTTCTAAAACCTTTTTTTTTAATTGAATTTTATGGATTTAAAACCACAAATTTCATCTTTAAATAATTTCAGAACAATCATCCCTTGGTGCCATGGTGCTTGTTTGGTGAAATCTTTTCAGTCTCTATTAGAGCGTAAATATTTTGTCAAAAATCAAGATTTATTTATTATTTATTATTTTCCAACAATATTGTGATTTCATTTGATTTTCCTTTGCAGTAACACCAAGAATAAGGATCTTTTATTTTAGGATTTCACCTTTTTCATTATCTTGAGAACTTGCTTATCCAGAGTCACCCACACCCTCACCCCACACCCCACCAGAGTGAGAAATTCAGTGTCCTACTCTTGTTGAGGATGTTCTTTTTGAAAAACAAATGGACATGTACCATCATTCATTTATCAACTCTCAAAGCTCTCATTATAGAAACAGTACAAAAGTGTTTGTTTTGATTCATTTTGTTCATAAATTCTACAAAAAAAAATCAATAGAAACGTGTCCTTAATCAACAGTTTACATATCAGGCGATGCTTCATAAATGCTTTGTGATGTATTTAAAAGTATAGAGGATGATATTTTATTTCCGGGTGGATCATCAAAATAAGTGGTCCTCCTAACTGTCAATAATTCTGGTGATATGTTTACATAAGGCCGTCCTACGTGCTCGTCCACATTTTCACTTACAGGTGGTGAGTCTGACATAGTGAAAAAATTGCACATCTTCTTTGGGAAAGTAAGTCTGTATGAGCAGTGAAAAAAGAAACTTTTAAACAGAGCGTGCAAGAGGAGAAAATATGCTTGTGCATGCTCTCACACGTGGGTGTTTTTTTTCACAAACATTTGTGAAAATCCTTCACTGCACCTGTAAGTGTAATATGATCAAAATTGAGTGACTTTGCGATTTGAATATTGTGTTTCATTAAATTGCGATTATGTTGCAAATGCAATTATTTGTCTCTATTTAAACAGCTGTATTTGCGCTGGGATCACCTTAAACCAAAGCGCCGACAGAGATATGAATGAGAAGAGTTCAGCTTACATTAGCTTTATATCACTTTTACTATTGTGTCAACTCAGAACATCCTTAGATCACAACAATTAAAGAAAAACTCTTTTTTTTTTTCACACATACACAGACGACTCACCTCCTCAGGAGGATTACGGACTTTTTGAAGGTATCGCTTCACCACTTCCTCTGGAGTCTTGCCTAAAATATAAAAAAACAAAAAATATCAGCCGTGGTTGTTATCAGCTGAAATGCCACATCAGTCAACCAAGAGGCCTACCTTTCCGGGCCTGCTTCTTTGTGGTCTTGCGGCAGCAGTGGCCCAAGCCGGGCACAGGTTTGATGTCACTCTTGCTGACAGGTGGGGGGTGGAGTACCAGCTTAGGAGGGCGGGTGAGGCAGACAGGAAGTCCTGCTGCACTCATCAGGATGCCTGTAATACCTGTGAACAGCCAGTGGAGGGAGGTAATGTTTACGTTCATCCTGACAACTAACTCCTCAATAAAATACCAGGACAGAAGTACTTATTCACCTTACACTTTTTTAGATATATCCCATGTTCTTAGCAGAAACATTAATATTTTTAATTCAGCGTTTTATGTGAAACGAAGTGGTGAATTTTTATTAAGCGGATGCAAAAATAATTTGATTCACTAACAGAAATACAAAGAAAAATGTGACATGCTTGTGTATTAATGGCCTCTTGAGTTATTTTTAATTTTTTTTCTCCAAGTAGATCAGTTTAACATCTCTGATGAGGTGGTATGTATATTTTTTTTACCTGCCAGGGCAGGATGCACAGGGCTGGATCCATTTAGGTTCTTTACTGGAACTGTTGGCACTCTGAAAGAAAGGGGAAAAAATAAAACACAGACATTAATCCACAGCTGTTACAGGACTGATTGGCTGGGTCAGCTCTGCACATGGACAGGCCTTTTCCGATTAGTCACATGTAAAAAGGATTGAGCTGCAGCTGAGAGCAGCATATGCCTGCCTCCGGTTCAATACGTGTCACCAGGTTAAGGACTTCTGAGGACATGCGGAAGACAGGAGCAGATGCTGCAACCAGACATACTGTCTTATAATTGATCCAGATCACACCATTAATGTTCTAATTTTAGGGTTAAACTGAATCACCAAACATTCGGAATGATCATCAGATGTTTCTGACAAGGATCTATTGAAAGATTACTTAATAAAAACACAAACTAACCATGTATCAGAACGGGTGGAGGTTTGTAGAGGACCCAAATGCAGAGACGGAGGCTGAGGTGGTTTCTTGCAGGTTTAATAATTAAAGTGGTGGCAACAGATGTATAAATCCAGAAATAACTAATCAAGGAACACAGAGCTTATGGCGGGAATGAAGAGAATCCAGCAAAGAGTAACTGCAGAGGAGGAGTATATATGGCAGACAGTACAATAAATGGAGTTATCAATTGATTGGGAGCAGGGGTGAACAGAAGTAGCTAGAAGGAAGGTAGGGGGCAAGGAGCGTTATGGTGCGTTCACACAGGAGCGCCACAGGTAATTCACTGCTCTGCATTTCAGATGCACTCTGTTTACACCCTGGACCGCATCATTAAATAGGACAGGCTTCAGCTACATGAAGCTGCATGACACGCCACTGACAAGGAAAAAAACCCCTCAGCAAATAGACTGAATGGTTATTGCTTCTTAAGTGCAGGATTGTGCTTTTAACATGCTAATTTGTAAAAATAAAAAAAGTAAAAAAGAGTTCTGTGCTGATGTTTCAGAAATACCGGTATTAAAGATATTTTTTAGATCACTCAGAGTCTATCCCCCAATACACTCTAAATTGAATAAAAATGCATTCCCCACCCTTCACATTCCCCGTTCATTTAGGAATTCTATGTGAATCCACTGCGGCAATCAAAGCCACCGCGGGCTGTCTGAACATACCTTAAGGGGAAACAGAGAGCAACAAGGGAAGAAAACAGGGATATCTAGAAAATAACTAAAATGACACTAAAGGGAAATGAAACTTATGAGTAGAAAATACAGAATGATATGAATCAAAGTGTAACTGAAAAAACAGTAAAAAAGTAAAACCAGACACCCTACAAGTCCAGGGGCTAAAGAAACAACAAACCAGAGTCCAAAATAAAACAACCCAACATGAGTGGGCGACGACAAAGCAGAGTCTCTAGGAGGCGACGACGAAGAAAGAGTCTTGGAGGCCGGTGACTGTGGCACAGGAACCCATCAAGAGGCAACGCAGCTTAAGACCCACCAAGAGGCACCAGAGATGGAGACGGATGCCCAAGGAGGGTCTTACAGACGAGAAGAGCCCAATAAGGGGTTGTTGAGATTAGAAGCGCCCAAGTTGGGCCCATGGAGATGGGGACGCACACTTTGGGGATGTGGAGATGTGGAAAGACCAGGGAGGGGCCTCGGAGATGAGAAACGCCCCCCCCCCCCCGATGGGCCTTGGAGATGAGGAATACCAACTGAGGGGCCTTGGACACAAGGAACGACCACGGAGGCGCCTTGGAGATGAGGAACGTCCACAGCTGGGAGAATGTCCACAATGATGTGACTCAAGGAAAGGTCCAACATGGATGGAAAACAACAGGCTCAGAAGAGGGTTCACTGAGGTGCCATAACTCTGTAGCAGATGGCTGACAGGGAGCTACAGGCTGTGGAACAGCGGAATGACAGTGAGCTGATGGAGGTAGCATGACATGGAAAAAATTCTCTTTCCCCATAAAAAAAATTCCATAAGTGAGACTCCCTGAGTTGTGGGGGACCTGATGTGAGGAGTTGAGTAGAGGAGAAGCAGTGGTGATGTCAGATTGAGCAAAATATATTTCTCTCAACTGAGATGGTGACTGATCCGGATCCATGTTAGGTGGTGAGAAGAGCATTGAAACTTCTCAATCTGCTCGACAAGGAGGCTTAGCTGATTGGAGAATGAGGTCATGAAATGGCCTCGTTGTGCATTCTGTTGTTGTGGTTCTTGCTGTAGGAGAGCCAGCTGCTCCTTCCAGATGGGCTCTGCTGGGTTCTTTCTGGCTGGATTCTACTGTCAGGATGGGTGGAGTTTTGTAGAGGACCCAAATGCAGAGACAGAAGCTGCTGCGAGTTCTTGCAGATTTAATAATGGTGGTAGCAACACAAGCATGAATCCAGAAATAACTAATCAAGGAACCAGAACAAAGGGGAACACAGAGCTTAAAGCGGGAGTGAAGAGAATCCTGGAAAGAGTAAGTGCAGAGGAGGAGTATATATGCCAAACAGAACAATGAATGGAGTAATCGACTGATTGGGAGCAGGTATGGACAGAAGTAACTAGATAACCAGATAAAACAAGTCTTCAATGTAGCTAGAAAATAAATTTATGACACTTAAGGCAAATTAAACTAATAACTTGTAAACAAAAGATGATTTAAATCAGAGTGTATCTGAAAACCCAAAGTAAAAACCTGAAAACAACCAAAAATCTATATCACCAGATCATGACAACATGTATATCAATCATTGAGCATTCATCATGGAATCAAAAGTGCAAATCAGGATTATCCATTTTATGTGAGACAAGCTGATAAAGCCCAGGTTTCAAATCAATCAGACACACCAGCTTTGATTTCTGTTTAATCAACTTAAGAGATGTTTTAAAGTATATGAACTTCCACATCTCTGTCACTGTCTCTGCTATCTGAAATGGTTAAAAAATCCACACAAGCCTGAAATGTGTCACACAACCTACAAAGACTACCAGCTGTCCTAAGTTGTTTACTTACGGTCTGCCATGTTTGATAACAGTCATTGTTCTTGCTCGATCGCTCCGAAGAGTCAAGATGTTTAAGCTTCGAAATAGACTCTTAGGGCTGTTTTTCTTTGTCTAAGGCAGCGTGTAAACCACCTCTATCTGTGCTGCTGTGTACGCTTCTATGCCGGTGTCTCGCCTCTCCTTCCTGCCTTTAAAGGGCTAAGCCACCAGGTCCCATCTGTTGATTGAACTCTGGTTAGAAGCCAACGATTGGCAGCGGGAGGGATTACCTGTGAATTATCACGTCAGCCATGCCAGGCGGACAAACGGCTGGCAGATACAAGCTTAAAGAACCTGACTCAACAGCAGAATAAACACAGATGTAGAGATATTACAACTATAAACAAGGGATGAATATTATTTGTTTATTCACTGGACTTAAGTCTGTAATGAGAAAACCAGCGCTGTTTAGCCAAAGTCTTTTCTTTATTTGTAACATTTTCATAAGCTATTCGAGCTCTTCGGTTTTAATCTCTAGTTTAATGTAGTCACAATCGATTCCAGAGATTCACTTCCATACAGAAAGCCCATATTCTTATCTTCAGGTAACACAGTATACATGTCAGATTAAATAAAACTACTTATACTTCAGCGATAGTATCTAGGTGTTACTTTATTGTATGTCTCGTACCATGTCCCTTCTTTGTGCTGTTCTTTTTACATCTCTTTGCAGGTGATGAAGCAGACTGAAGATGTTTTATCGTGATCTCCTCTTTCTTTCATCTTTTCTCCTTTTTTTCTGTTTTTCCTCTTCTGTTCTACTTACATTGCAGTGTCTGTATAATGTGTAAAACTCCCTGCATAAGTATAATAAAGCTATTTATATGCATAAATCAAGCGGAACACCATGGCGATAGCCCTACTGCTCCACTTGAGAAAGCAAAATCTGTTGGGCTCTTTTTGGCATCAAGACAGGACACTTAAAAGATAAATAAATACATAAAATAATGTAGTCACAATCCACAACTATTGAAGATACAGAAGAGTTTAAATGAAAAAAGAAGATAGTAAATGGCATGTTTCTTTCTATTGCTATATGAGAATACATAATTATCAGCAGGAAAGTGAAATTATCAATATTAGTGATATTATTAGTGTTTTGTTGGTTAAAGTTTAGTTTTTCCTAAGTAAAATTATCATGGGGCACTGAAAATAGATTTTGAAAGTTTCTTATGCAAGGAGAAGATAACAAATCTACCCCTAAGGTTAGGGATCACCCTATGCATAAAAAATAGGGTTGAATCCCAGGCACAGACCTGGCTTTTAAGCATAGTTTGTGATATTTCAGAAAGGTTACGTTTTTGAGAAGGATTAATTCCCAATTTCGTTCAAAAATACTTCAATTATCCCGAAAGGAAATTAAATGTTGCAGAAACTCATTGGCAGTTTTTCAGTGAGTTGTTCTAGATGTTAATAGCTGTATGTTTCAAAGGCCTCATCCATCCATCCATCCATCCATCCATCCATCCATCCATCCATCCATCCATCCATCCATCCATCCATCCATCCATCCATCCATC